TTGGAGGGGCTCAGGGGTCACTTTGGGGGGCTTGGGGTCACTTAGAGTGGCTTAGGTGTCACTTTGGGGGGCTCAGCGGTCACTTGGAGGGGCTCAGGGGTCACTTTGGGGGGCTTGGGGTCACTTAGAGTGGCTTAGGTGTCACTTTGGGGGGCTTAGGGATCACTTTGGGGGGCTTAGGGATCACTTGGAGGGGCTCAGGGGTCACTTTGTAGGGCTTAGGGATCACTTGGAGGAGCTCAGGGGTCACTTTGGGGGGCTCAGGGGTCACTTTGAGAGGCTTAGGTGTCACTTTTGGGGGGTTCAGGGTCACTTGGAGGGGCTCAGGGGTCACTTGGAGGGGCTTAGAGGTCCCCAGCACCCCTGTCCCTGGGGCACGGTGGGAGGCCGTGTCCCCGGGCTGTCCCCAGGCTGTCCCCGGGCTGTCCCCTCGCTGTCACCCCACTGTCACCCCTCTGTCCCCGCAGCCATCGAGGACGAGTACAGCGGCCCCAAGCTGGAGGACGGCCGGGTGACCTTGGCCTTCATGAAGGACCTGATGCAATGGTACAAGGACCAGAAGAAACTCCACAGGAAATGTGCCTACCAGGTACCCCAAAACCCCCACAAAACCCCGCTGTCCCCCCACGTGTCCCCACGTGTCCCCACGTGTCCCCACGTGTCCCCACGTGTCCCCGCCGCGCAGATCCTGGTGCAGGTGAAGGAGGTGCTGGCCAAGCTGCCCACCCTGGTGGAGACCACGTTGAAGGAGGTGGGTTCCCCTGGCCGGGGGGGCGTCCCCGGGGGTGTCCCCCCCTTTGACGCGGGTGCCACCGCCGCGTGTCCCTTGGCAGACGGAGAAGGTGACGGTGTGCGGGGACACGCACGGGCAGTTCTACGACCTGCTGAACATCTTCGAGCTCAACGGGCTCCCCTCCGAGGCCAACCCTTATGTATCCACACCCCGGGGGTCCCTGGGGCGGGGCGGGGTCGGGGGGACGCCGGGGACACGCCGGGGGTGTCGTTGTCCTCAGCTGGTGACAGATTTTCAACGGGGACTTCGTGGACCGCGGCTCCTTCTCGGTCGAGGTCATCCTGACGCTCTTTGGCTTCAAGCTGCTCTACCCTGACCACTTCCACCTGCTCCGAGGTACTGCCAGGGCCTGGGGGGCGCGGCCCGGGCCCCCCCGGCGAGGGGACACCGAGGGGACACTGGCACCGGGGCTCACTATCTGGCAGCGCCCATTGGCTGTGATGGATCCCTATTTGGCAGCCATTTCGGCTCACTGTCTGGCAGCCCCGTTGATTTGAATGGATCTCTTTTTGGCAGCCGTTTTGGCTCACTTTCTGGCAGCTGTCATTTTCAATAATGGATCCCTATTTAGCAGTTATTCTGGCTCACTATCTGGCGGCCCCGTTGATTTGAATGGATCCCTATTTGGCAGTTAACGTGACTCACTTTCTGGCAGCTGTCATTTGCCGTAATGGATCCCTATTTGGCTGCCGTCTCGTTGGCTCACTATGTGGCAGCTGTCATTTATATTAATGGATCCCTATTTGGCAGCCCTTGTGCCTCACTATCTCGCAGCCCCGTTGATTTGATTGGATCTCTATTTAGCAGCCGGGTTGGCTCACTATGTGGCAGGTGTCATTTGCAGCAGTGGATCCCTATTTGGCAGCCGTGCTGGTGGCTCACTTTCTGGCAGCTGTCATTTGCAGTAATGGATCCCTATTTGGCAGCCCTGAAAGCTCACTGTCTGGCAGCCCCCTTGATTGTAATGGCTCCCTATTTGGCAGCCCTAAAAGCTCACTATCTGGCCGTTGTCATTTATAGTAATGGATCACTTTGTGGCAGCCGTTTTGGATCACTATCTGGCAACCCCGTTGATTTGAATGGATCCCTTTTTGGCAGCCCTTTTGGATCATTTTCTGGCAGCTGTCATTTGCAGTAATGGATCCCTATTTGGCAGTTATTGTGGCTCACTATCTGGCAGCCCCGTTGATTGTAATGGATCCCTATTTAGCAGCCCCCGAAAATTGGGGGGCTTTGACCCCCCCCGTCGCTGTCGCTGTCCCCTGGGGTTCGGGGTGTCCTGTGCCTCATCCCTGCTGTCCCCAACGTCCCCACGGCGTGTCCCCCCCAGATCATGCACGGGGGGCTCTTCAGCGAGGACGGGGTGACCCTCGATGACATCCGCAAGATCGAGCGGAACCGGCAGCCCCCGGACTCAGGTGGGACCGGGACCCCCCGGGATGTCCCCACAGTGTCCCCACGGTGTCCCCAAGGTGTCCCCAAGGCACGGGGCTGAGCTGTGACCCCCCCCTGTGTCCCCCGCCAGGGCCGATGTGTGACCTGCTGTGGTCTGACCCCCAGCCCCAGGTGAGCTGTCACCCCCCCTGGGGACGTCCCCTGTCCTGTCCCCGTGTCCCAGGGGTGTCCCCAGGTCCTGGCAGTGTCCCCTGCCCTGTCCCCGTGTCCCAGGGGTGTCCCCATGTCCTGTCCCCACGTCCTGGGGGTGTCCCCATGTCCTGTCCCTGTGTCCCAGGGGTGTCCCCATGTCCTGTCCCCACGTCCTGGGGGTGTCCCCTGTCCTGTCCCCGTGTCCCAGGGGTGTCCCCAGGTCCTGGGGCTGTCCCCATGTCCTGGGGACGTCCCCTGCCCTGTCCCCGTGTCCCAGGGGTGTCCCCATGTCCTGTCCCCACGTCCTGGGGGTGTCCCCATGTCCTGGGGGTGTCCCCTGCCCTGTCCCCACGTCCTGGGGGTGTCCCCATGTCCTGGGGGTGTCCCCTGCCCTGTCCCCACGTCCTGGGGGTGTCCCCAGGTCCTGGCAGTGTCCCATGCCCTGTCCCCAAGTTCCTGCTGCTGTCCCATTCCATGTCCCCATGTCCCCTGCCCTGTCCCCAGGTCCTGGTGACATTCTCCACCCTGTCCCCAAGCCCTGCTGCTGTCCCTTTCCGTGCCACCCTCTGCCATGTCCTGGTGTCCCAGTGCCACTCTCTCTTCTCCTGTCCCCAACCTCCCAATGCCACCAGTCCCGCCACCACCTCCCCCATGCCAGCTGACCTTGCTGTCCCCTGGGGGGGTCCCCAATGTCCCCGATGTCCCTGATGTCCCCAATGTCCCCAATCACCCCAATCACCCCAATGTCCCCGATGTCCCCAATGTCCCCAATGTCCCCCATCCCCCCAATGTCCCCATGATGTCACCAATGTCCCCATGATGTCACCAATCCCCCCAATGTCCCCAATGCCCCCAATCCCCCCCATGTCCCCGATATCCCCACCTGTGTCACCTGTGTGTCACCTGTGTGTGTCACCTGAGTGTCACCTGTGTGTCACCTGAGTGCCACCTGAGTGCCACCTGAGTGCCACCTGTGTCACCTGTGTGTCACCTGAGTGTCACCTGTGTCATCTTTGTGCCACCTGTGTCACCTGTGTGTCACCTGTGTGTGAGCTGTGTCACCTGAGTGTCACCTGTGTCACCTGAGTGTCACCTGTGTGTCACCTGAGTGCCACCTGTGTCACCTGAGTGTGAGCTGTGTCACCTGTGTGTCACCTGAGTGTCACCTCACTGTCACCTGAGTGTCACCTGTGTGTCTCCTGTCCAATTTCTGTGTCACTTGTGTCACCTGAGTGTCACCTCTGTGTCTGTGGTGTCCCCGCTGTCCCTGGTGACATCCCCGCTGTCCCTGAGGTGTCCCCACTGTCCCCATGGTGTCCCTGTGGTGTCCCCGGTGTCCCCATGGTGTCCCCGTGGTGTCCCCGCTGTCCCCGGTGTCCCCGGTGATGTCCCCATGGTGTCCCTGCTGTCCCGGTGACGTCTCCGCTGTCCCCATGGTGTCCCTGTGGTGTCCCCGCTGACCCCGGTGACGTCCCCGTGATGTCCCCGTGGTGTCCCCACTGTCCCCATGATGTCCCCGTGGTGTCCCCATTGTCCCCATGGTGTCCCCATTGTCCCCATTGTCCCCGTGGTGTCCCCGCTGTCCCCGGTGACGTCCCCATGATGTCCCCATGGTGTCCCCAGGGCCGCCTTCGCTCCGGCCGTTCGTTTCCGCGCCCGCAGCTCCTACGGCCGCCGGTCAGCGCAGGCCACGCGTGAGTCACCCTGCCTGTCACCTGTGTCACTTGTGTCTGTCACGTGTGTCACCTGTGTCTGTCACACGTGTGTGTCACCCGTGTGTGTCACCTGTGTCTGTCACCCGTGTCTGTCACCCGTGTCACCTGTGTCCCCAGTCTCCCCAAATGTCCCCAGTGTCCCCACTGTCCCCAATGTCCCCAATGTCCCCAAAAGTCCCCAAGGTCCCCAAATCCCCCAAATGTCCCCAATGTCCCCAATGTCCGAAATCCCTCCATGTCCCCAATGTCCCAATGTCCCCAATGTCCCCAGTGTCCCCAATCCCCCCAATGTCCCCGATATCCCCAATGTCCCCATGATGTCACCAATGTCCCCGATGTCCCCGATGTCCCCAGAACGGGCGGTCGGTCAGCAAGCGGGGGGTCAGCTGCCAGTTTGGCCCCGATGTCACCAAGCGCTTCCTGGAGCGGAACCGCCTGGAGCTGATCATCCGCAGCCACGAGGTCAAGCCCGAGGGCTACGAGGTGGCCCACGATGGCCGCTGTGTCACCGTCTTCTCCGCCCCCAACTACTGGTGAGGGACACGCCGGGGACACAGGGGACACAGGGGACACTGCTGGGGACAGCTGGGGACACGGCTGGGGACAGCTGGGGACACTGCTGGGGACACGGCTGGGGACACAGCTGTGGCGCTGTGGCCTTGGGTTTGTCCCCCAGTGTCACTTCGGTTCGGTGTCCCCTGAGCCACGTTGGTCACTTGGTCTAGGGCTACGAGGTGGCCCACGATGGCCGCTGTGTCACCGTCTTCTCCGCCCCCAACTACTGGTGAGGGTGCCGGGGACACAGGGGACACAGGGGACACTGCTGGGGACAGCTGGGGACACGGCTGGGGACATCTGGGGACACGGCTGGGGACACGGCTGTGGCGCTGTGGCCTTGGGTTTGTCTGCTGGTGTCACCTCGGTTCGGTGTCCCCTGAGCCACGTTGGTCAATGGCCGCTGTGTCACCGTCTTCTCCGCCCCCAACTACTGGTGAGGGACACGCCGGGGACACAGGGGACACAGGGGACACTGCTGGGGACAGCTGGGGACACGGCTGGGGACAGCTGGGGACACTGCTGGGGACACGGCTGGGGACACAGCTGTGGCGCTGTGGCCTTGGGTTTGTCCCCCAGTGTCACTTCGGTTCGGTGTCCCCTGAGCCACGTTGGTCACTTGGTCTGGTGTCCCCAAGCCCGGTGTCACCTGACCTGCAGTGTCCCCAAACCCGGTGTCCCCTGATCTGAATTGTCCCCAAGCCCAGTGTCCCCTGAGCCACCTTGTCCACTTAGTTTTGTCCCCAGGTGTCTCCTGTACCTCGTTGTCCCCAAATGTCCCCATCCCTGGTGGTCCCCCAGCCTCGGTGGCCCACAGGGGTTGCACTGTGCTGTCCCCAAGTGTCCCCAATGTCCCCAAATGTCCCCAAATGTCCCATCCCTGGTGTTCCCCCAGCCTCGGTGGCCCACGGGGGCTGTGCTGTGGTGTCCCCAAGTGTCCCCAATGTCCCCAAATGTCCCAAATTTCCCCATCCCTGGTGGCCCCCAGCCTCGGTGGCCCACGGGGGCTGTGCTGTGTGGTCCCCAAATGTCCCCAATGTCCCCAAATGTCCCCTGCAGTGACCAGATGGGCAACAAGGGCTCCTACATCCACCTGCGGGGCAGCGACCTCCGCCCCGACTTCCACCAGTTCACAGCAGTGGTGAGTCTGGGGGCTGTTTTACCATCTCTGTAATTAATTAATCACGTTCAATAAAGTTAATTAAAAGCCCGCTCGCGAAGGGCTCCCGGCCGCTAGGGGGCGCTGCGGCGGCGCGGGGGGGGGGCGCGCTGCGGCCGCTAGGGGGCGCTGCGGCGGTTGCCATGGTGACCGCGCCCCGCGTCGCGTTGTTGCCATGGCGACGGGGATGGAGGGCGGGGATCGTCCTCGGGGACCCCAAAACAACCCCAGGGACCCCCAAAACTGCCCTGGGACCCCCAAAACAACCCCAGGAACCCCCAAAACTGCCCTGCGGACCCCAAACCTCACCCAGGGACCCCCAAAACTCCCCCAGGAACCCTCAAAACTACCTTGGGGACCCCAAAATCTCACCCAGGGACCCCAAAAACTTCCCTGGGACCCCCAAACTTCATGCAGGGACCCCCAAACCTCACCCAGGGACCCCCAAAACTCCCCCAGGAACCCTCAAAACTACCTTGGGGACCCCAAAATCTCACCCAGGGACCCCAAAAACTTCCCTGGGACCCCCAAACTTCATGCAGGGACCCCCAAACCTCACCCAGGGACCTCAAAACCAACCCCAGGACCCCCAAAACTGCCCTGGGACCCCCAAACCTCACCCAGGGATCCCCAAACTTCACCCAGGGACCTCCAAAACCTCCCTGGGGACCCCAGAATCTCACCCAAGGACCGCAAAATCTCACCCAGGGACCCCCAGACCTCACCCAGGGACCTCAAATCCTGCCCTGGAACCCCCAAACTTAACCCCAGGGACCCCCAAAACTGCCCTGGGACCCCCAAACCTCACCCAGGGACCCCCAGACCTCATCCAGGGACCCCCAAAACTCACCCAGGGACCCCAGACCTCACCCAGGGACCCTCAGATCTTCCCTGGGGACCCCCAAACCTCACCCAAAGACCCCAAGTCCTCCCTGGGGACCCCCCCTCAATTCAGAGAGCCTCAAGTCCCACCCTGGAGCCCCCCCCAAAACTTCCAGAAGTTTCTTGAGCCCCCCGAACTCCCTCTTGGGGGGCTCGGGGGTTTATGGGGGGACCCAGAGGGGCCTGGACCACTCTGAGCCCCTCCCAGTTTGGCACTGGGACCAGTTCCAGTGCACCCAGGGACCTCAAAACCAACCCCAGGACCCCCAAAACTGCCCTGGGACCCCCAAACCTCACCCAGGGATCCCCAAACTTCACCCAGGGACCTCCAAAACCTCCCTGGGGACCCCAGAATCTCACCCAAGGACCGCAAAATCTCACCCAGGGACCCCCAGACCTCACCCAGGGACCTCAAATCCTCCCTGGGACCCCCAAAACTGCCCTGGGACCCCCAAACTTCACCCAGGGACCCCCAACCCTCACCCAGGAAGCCCAAATCCTCCCTGGGAACCCCCAAACCTCACCCAGAGACCCCAAGACCTCCCTGGGGACCACCCCGAACTCCCTCTTGGGGGGCTCGGGGGTTTATGGGGGGACCCAGAGGGGCCTGGACCACTCTGAGCCCCTCCCAGTTTGGCACTGGGACCAGTTCCAGTGGCAGAGCGAGCTGCCAATCAGCGCCGCGCAGCCAATAGGAGCGCGGAGCGCCTTCGTCCGTCGCGCCGCTCAGCCAATAGGAGAGCGGAGCGCCTCTGTCAGCCGCGCCGCTCAGCCAATAGGAGCGCGGAGCGCCTCCGCTGGTCCCGCCCCCCAACCGAGAGCGTCGGACGGGTCCGAAACGTCTCGGAATGACCCAAAATCACCTCGGAATGACCCAAAATTAATTCTGAAAGACCCAAAATCAATTCGGAATGACCCAAAATCACCTCGGAATGACCCAAAATTAATTCTGAAAGGCCTAAATTTAATTCGGAATGACCCAAAATCACCTCAGAATGACCCAAAATCACCTTGGAATGGCCAAAATAATTTCAAAATCACCTTGGAATGACCCAAAATTATTTCGGAATGACCCAAAATCACCTTGGAATGACCAAAATAATTTCAAAATTACCTTGGAACGACCCACAATCACCTCGGAATGACCCAAAATTAATTCGGATGGACCCGAAACCCCCCCGGAGGACCCCAAAACCCCCTCGGGTGACCCCAAATCCCCTTGAATTGACCCCAAATCCCCTTGGATTGACCCCAAATCCCCTTGGATGGAGCCCAAATCCCCCAGGAGGATCCCAAATTCCCTGGGAAGGGCTCGAGACCCTCTTGGGAGAGCTCCAAGCCCCTTGGGGAGATCCGGAGCCGCCTCAGAAGGAGCTGAAGTCCCTTGGCCCAAAATTCCTCAAGATGGACCCAAAATCCCCTGGGAAGGGTCTGAAAGTGCCTTGGATGGGTCCAAAATCCCCTTGAAAGGACCCAAAACCCCCCTGGAGGGATCCCAAATCCCCTTGAGAGGATCCAAAACTCCTTGCGAGGGTTCAAACCCCAAAAAAGGATCTCAAACTTGAGAGGATCCCAAAATCCCCTTGAAAGGATCCAAAATTCCCTTGAAAGGATCCAAAATTCCCTTCAAAGAATTCAAAATCCCCTTGAGAAGATCCCAAATCCTCTCGGAGGGGTCCAAATCCCCCTGAAATGATCCCAAATCCCCTTGAAAGGATCCAAACCCCCTTGAGAGGATCCCAAATCTCCCTGCAATGATCCCAAATCCCCTTGAAAGAATTCAAAATCCCCTTGGGAGGATCCCAAATCCCCTCGGAGGGGTCCAAAATCCCCTTGAAAGGAACCAAAATCCCCTTGAGAGGATCCCAAATCCTCTTGGATGATTACAGACCTCACACCCCCTGTTCTCCCTCTACTCCCCTATAGCCCACCAAGCCCCCCCATTTCCCCCCCAAAATCCCCCATTTCCCCCCATAGCCCCCAAAGCCCCCCCATTTCCCCCCCAAAATCCCCCATTTCCCCCTTTGAAATGATCCCAAATCCCCTTGAAAGAATTCAAAATCCCCTTGAGAGGATCCCAAATCCCCTCGGAGGGGTCCAAAATCCCCTTGAAAGGAACCAAAATCCCCTTGAAATGATCCCAAATCCTCTTGGATGATTACAGACCTCACACCCCCCATTCTCCCTCTACTCCCCTATAGCCCCCCAAGCCCCCCCATATCCCCCATTTCTCC